GTGATTTCGAGCAGTATTATATTTTACAGAGGGGGTTCCACCGAGAGAAAAAACTGAGTGGTTCTACGTTTTGAGTTATAGTATGTAGATGATTCGTTATAAGAAACTGTTCATTCACATTTCAACCGGAAAGCAAAAAAGAGGATCGATGAGCTTATCGCCTTCTAGTTTATCTCCTCCTTAAAATAACGAAGCTTCGTCAGCGCACAAATGCTTATGTGAAACCAGAACGAGTTATTTAGAGGACACGTTTAGGTATTTTAGAGCGCACTGTGTACCTTTCCATTTTCAATACTGCTATAATCTTCAGATTAATCATTTGTCACTCGCGAAGGTCGAATATATTACCGTATTTATTCGAAATAGCGCCCAACCTCAGTTAAGCACCCACCTTATCGGTTGGAAAAGTTGACGAGTGCCCAACCTCAATTTAGCACCCACTGCTCTCAAGGTGAGCGCTTAGGACGCTTAATCGAAGAAATGTAATATTCCTGTGTGCGGCTAGTGTTTGTCGTCCTTCTATGGTGGGTAGTTTGGTGTTTTGTTACGACTATAAGCGATGAAGGATTGAGCAAAGTTGTCGACAACATCAATGTAAGAGAGATTTTTTTTTTCTTCTCAGGAACCTCATTCCAGTGACTCAGTTGTATGTCAGTGTGGATGCCAGCACTAAAGAAAGCCTCAAGAAAATCGACCGACCCTTGTTTAGAGATTTCTGGCCTCGGTTTTTGGACAGCCTTAAGGCTCTGTCAGAAAAGGTTTGAAGAGGCTTTCATCTCCGTTTTTTGCTTTGTGTCAAAATGTTGTGATTATATTAGTGGCGCTGTTCTAGTTGTCTTGTACATGAAAACCAACTCACCCGACCAGTTTGAATCGCACCTTGAGGAGATTTCTGTTGTAGCAATTTGTGTTTTGTTTTAGGTGTCTCTGTTGCGTCAAACTCATTGGATAACCTTTGAAGTTATCGTGAATATTCGTAGCGTCCTCTGATTGGATGGTAGTATCGGAGCCTCTTCGGTTTCGTCAGCCGTTGCTTTCTTAAGCTTCGGAACTATCGAGCTCTTTTTTCATGTAACTGGAAATAATATATATATATGTGAAAGTTACCATTTCTTATTGTGTTTTTAATTTCAGGGTCAGAGAACTGTGTACCGTCTCACACTGGTTAAGTCCTGGAACAATGAAGAAATCAAAAACTATGCCGACTTGGTATCTATTGGCAAACCAGACTTCATTGAAGTTAAGGTACTGTTACGTTTCTTTGTTTCCTTACGAAACATCATTGTGCGCTGAAGAATTTACTTGTAGAACAGATATAGACAATGCCTCCCAATGCTCAGTGTCGCCTAAAAGTTGGCTTTTGAACTGTCACACATTTTCTCTTTAGATGAGGTGTTGTTAGAATCTGGATCGTGAGATCTCGGGTTGAGCCTTGGCCGAGTCACCATGCTAAACAGTTTACTCCCATCATGTCTCTCTCTCTCTCTCTCTCTCTCTCTTTCTTTTTCTCCACGTCGGAGTGTAAATTGATACCAACAGACTGTCACGGAAACCTGACTTAAATCTGGGGTAGACTTAAATATATCGCATCTCATCCAGGGGGGATAACGATAAGTAAATATACCTCAGTCCCGGGAAAACGAATACGCTCCCTTACCAAAGTACGCTGGTGATCACTTCCTCTTTTCCCTTGAACTTAATGTGCGATTCAGGAGTGATATTGTAAGGAGAAATTATATGTTAGTCACTCTGAGGGTTCAAACGGTTAACTGCTATGACAGCATCGTGGCTGTGTTCCTTTGTAGCTCACTCAGGAGTATTGAATTACTTGTCCTTGGGTGATTTATGTAGAATATTATATTTATTCTGTGTTTCTCGTTTCTTCCTCAGGGTGTAACCTATTGTGGGGAATCTAAAGCATCCACCCTCACGATGCAGAATGTACCATGGCATGAAGAGGTAATGTTGTTAAAACTTTTAACTCTTCCTACTAATTCTGACTCATTTGATTAGGTTGGTTTTCATAATTTGGATTGTTGTCCATTGGATGTTAACTGTCTTTGTCCGCTTATCCTGTTGCATTTACATTGATTTAGTTTCAGTGGAGAATTTGCTTGTCCTTATTTATCGACTGAGTCATTTTTTACATTGTTCCAATGGGTTATCATTTTCTCCTCAGGTCATTGGGTTTGTTCAGAAGCTAACAGATTTACTACCTGACTATGAGATCGCCTGTGAACATGAACATTCCAACTGTCTTCTTATTTGCCACAAGAAGGTGAGAGTTGAAATTGTAACTTTTTTTTGACGTCTCCTCACAAACTGGTCGAACATATCGCGCGAACAAATCCCTTAGTTTGTACTTAAAATGACAGATATGGCAGCGCCGGTACACACGCTGATGCGAGGCTTTAAAATCGACAGAGAAAGATATGAAAAAGAACTTGGGTACTAGGATCATCGACGCACTTTTATTGGTGTTTTGCTGTCTTTTTTCTCACCTGACAAAAGGAAAAATTTTCGAACACTCATGATGGGGCCTGTAGATTTCCTTATTGCTACTTTGGGTTTTATTTTTTCATTATTTTTTGTACTCTTAGTTTAAGAAAGAAGATGAATGGTACACATGGATTGATTACCCCACTTTCCACCGTCTGGTAAGGACTGAAATATTCTTCACCAATACTGTTTAATTTTCACAACCATCATCTTGTTTGATGAAGGTAATGCTTTGCTTAAAGTGAATATTACATCCATGGTTTAAGCCCATAACATACAACTATCGTTAGAACAAGTCGTAAAGCCTTCTTGCTGGCCATTACTTTGTACCCCTAATGGGGGACCAATAATCATTTCTTCGGAGCGGATTAACTGTACGCATAGCCATCATATCATCTTGCATGGCTTTGCACCCTGATTCTTCTCACTGTTTTTTATACACTTGTTGTGGTACTGACAAGGAACGTTTGTTAAACAAGGGGTTCTCTAGGGGGCGATCACTTTCTGTATTCTCATGACCTTAATGTGCGATCAGCAACCGAAAGTACCTTTAGGCCATCATAGGGCGGATTTAGGGGAGGGGTGCAAGGGGTACGCACCCCTCCCCCCCGATGACCTTTGGCTTTGTAATATGACTAGTATTCTGCGAAAAAAGAAAAAAAACTATGTGGTTTATTGGTGTTGAAGTAAAACAAGCAGCAATTCTCATTATGTGATTGCCCAGTCCTACGTCTTTTTCCTCGTTGTTCTCTTTAAAAGCTGGTTTATGTCATTCTTTAGTGGTTTGCCCCCTACTGAGAAAAATCCTGAATCCACCCCGCCATCATCGATTAAAGTGTAGCATCAATTTATTTCCTGGTGCATTGTTTGTGTAGATGCAGCGTTATGAAGAGAGCAACGGAACCGAAAACTTTACAGCACTGGACTACATGGCTAAGACACCTGAATGGGCCTTGATGGGCCATGAACAGAGAGGGTTCGATCCAGAGGAAACTCGGTGGCATCGCAAGAAGAAGAAGGACATTAGTGGCTGTTAAACATTTCCAATGGACGAATTTGTGTGTACTTACCTTTGCTGTTGGGTTAGTCCGCTCTATGCGGTTCGAAAGAGTGACGTATTTCAAGTATGAAGTGGAGGAGAGGTTTCGATTTCATTTTTGGAGTGCGTGACTTTTTGGGAACATGATGGCAACATTTTCGAGGAGCAAACTGGAGGATTACATTAATGTAGCTTGTAACTGGACATTTAAGCCCAAGAAAACCATTTGAAGAAACGTTTTATCCTAAGTCTTTAGCACCTTTAGCTAGTTGGCAAACAGGGCCACACTTTAGCACCATTAGACTTGCGTTTTCCTGCACCTGGAAAGATTTGAGACGCGTTGGGGGAGGTTTTCTAGGGATCTGGCTCTAATGGCTAGTGTCAGACCCCTGACACCCTTATACTTTCCCGCGGGCGGAAGAAATGCTCGTGCCAGAGCGCTTATAATAAGGACTAGCTCGTAAGCTAAACCTTTATCCTGCTTTGAAAGCTGGCATATTTTAAAATGCCCCGAAGAAGCTTCGGTTACTGTTGTTACAATAATCTGGCAGGAATACCTGTTTACACGCAAGCTTCCTGTAATTTATATTATTAACTGTGTGAAATGTTGATAGACGCAATCTGAGTACGAAATGCGCGTAAATTACGCAGAGAAAATAAAACGGAACCCGTCAAATTCGTGTACTGAGGTTATAGTGTGTGAACTAAGACAAAACAACATGTATGACGGCTTGAAATTCCAGTCTACAGTGCCGTAAGTAAAAGAAGCGTCTAAACAATGTTGAATTATGAATATCGTCAGAGATTGACGATAGGAAATTTTTTCCTTGGCGCGCATCAGTCTATTATTATTGCGTAAATTTGCTTCGAGCCAAATTTTGGCGATAAAGTATAACTCTCCTCTTGCGATGAATATTCTTTATATGTTGTAAAAATATTGAAAATGATAAATAAATAAAAACAAAACAGAACAAAATAATATAAAAGGTAAACCCAAGACCAAATAGATATGCTCAGTTCCTCATATTAATTGCGCTTCCTGAAAAAAAAGCGATGAAATTAAGTTTACATAATCGGCGTCTAGCCTCTCGAACTATAAATCATGATTCTGGTGCTTGACAGGCCGAAGATTGCAAACTGTGCATGTTAGCTTAAACGCAAGGATAACACGTGTAAATAGAGCACATATGCCTGCATAAAAAGAAAACTCGCTTTAAAAAATACGTGTAAGCATGCTTTGCTTTGCAATATTAATTGATTCCCCACGCAATCTTCTTTATTATTCCTGATGTTTTCAAAGAAGAAAATATCAAGAATACGGGACTGACAGTTCTAGTTTACAGTTAATGAAGCGAGGGTTTCGTTGGGTACACCATAAAATATCATAAGGCTGAAAGGATCCTCTCGTCATCGAACTCCTGGGTAGGCACAATGGGCCGCTTTTGGTAATTACGTCATGGAAGACTATTGGGTTCACGTTACACGACATAAAATAGAGAGGCCATGTTGGTCAGTGTTCAATGAGTGTTGTGTTCGTTCGCCGTTGGCTTGTGGCTTTTTTCATAGCCATAGGAATTATTTGTATAGTTTTTATTTCCCTCAGGAAGGTAAGGCCTCTTAGTTGAGCTAGTGTTGACTTAAAACGTCTGGTTAAGAGGGAATTTTGATTTTAAAGATACTACGTTTACCTGGTGATGAATGTCTCAGTGGAGACTGTTTACATATGGCGAGCACTGTTATGCTGAAAATTTGTGACCCCTTTTTGTGTACTTGGAGGTTTCAATATTTTAGTGCTGATTGTAGAATAGGTGACAGTGACCCCAAAATGAAAAGAATTGTGGAAACTTGTGAAAGAAAATCTCAACAGATGACAATGAAAGGTTGCCAGTAACTGGCTTTTATTGAAAGCTGTTCGAACTCTGTTAAAAGATTGACCCTTTGTGATATCTCTCAGTTAGTAAGTACACCATGATTGGTCAATTTAGTGGGCTATATTTCACTGTGCGGCCTGCTACAGGAATATGACTGGTCAATCGAGTGGGCTATTAAAAAAAATGTATTTCAATGTACAGTCTGCTAAATTCAAACGTTTGTTTGAAATGAAATTCCCCCCCCCCTCTCACTGCATTGAACCCAGAGATAAAATAAATATCTTACTAACCTTGTTTTCTTGGTCCACACTGTAAATTATAGAACCTAATTTTTCTCTGCTTGGATTTATGGCTTGTGGGTCTCACACTAGGGCAATAAACCAGAAAAAAAACTTTTGCAGTAACTTACATTATGGACCCTGAACTCTGGTAGTAAGAGGTGTATATTTAATCTATTTAACCATGGCAATGCTAATATGTACTCAATCTTTACCTGCACTCCAAGTAGCTAAATACTTGAAACAGAAAATAGCTTTTGCATGTTTTTTTAACAGTTGAGTAAAAAACTTGGTATGAAAACACCATTTGTAATGTTGGCTCCTTTTTCAGTCTTATCAAGAGTCATATATCCTTGAAGTTCCTACCACTGAGTTTCAGTGGATCAATATTGAGAACTTGACAGAGTTTAGAGATTGCAGAAATTCTATCCAAGGAGCTCTATTGATTGTTGATGAAAGAGGTAAGGAATCATTTTTTCTTTAGATTAACAAATTGTTTTGAAAAGGAGTTGCACCGATTCTTATGAAGGTGCCTCAAGTCAAGATCATCATAACTTGCATTCAAAAGTTGAATATTAGAAGACCAAAAGTTACAGAGGTAAAGGCCAGTTAATGTTCATTTCCAAGGCCAATGCAGTAAGACAAAGCATTCTTACAAGGACAGTTTTTAATGTTTAATTATAACTGACCTGTTCATTGTGATAAGAAGGCTTGACAGCCTTGAAATTATAGTAAAACAACTGTGTTCAGGAAGTAACCTGTTGAGTTCTCTTTTTCCAGGATTTGTCTGTAATCGTAAAGACCTGTCTGCTAGTGGGTGTTGTCACAGTGGAGGAGAGAGTACTAAACGTTACGAGTGCAGATATTGTCAGAACAATAACTGTTGCAGCATTTATGAACACTGTGTTTCCTGTTGTTTAAACCCTGACAATGTGAGTAAAGTGATAGCTTTCCTCCAACAGTTCATTTTTTAATTTAGTAAAGGTTTTGTATTGTAAAATATAGTGCTGTTGACGAAGAAGGGCATAAAGTAATAGGGTGATATACATGTATGATACTATGATTCCACTTTGTAATAGAAAAAGGACACAGGTCATATATGAAATTTGATTGGAGAATTCTCTGAAGTTGCTTAAGAATGCTTCAATTCTCTATGAATGCCCTGAATTTTTCAAGAAATGCAAAAAGAAACAAAGAGAAACACCTTAACATACCTTGTGTTTTTCTCGTCATTTCTTTATGCTATTGCCCTTACCTACATGCATTGCATCAGAGCAGAGTGCAGTTGAGTCCTCTTTATTTGTCACATGACTGCCTCTTGATTACCCTGTAATAGTTACAGTAGCTTTTGAATGATAGACTTAGGAATTGCTTTTGTATTCCAAATTTAACTCTTTACACCCAAGACATGATTGTTAATTCTCCCCTCTAGCTGCTACACATTTCCTTGTAAACATTAAAGTTACTAGAATTTGGTGTTAGATTAAAATAACAACTGATACCTGTTAATTTTGAATATTCTCGTCTCCTGTTTGCTGGAAAATGTGTGGATATTATGGGGAGAAATCACTTGTCAATCAGTTCTTACAGTTAAAAGATGAAATAATTATGGATCAACATATTTTCTTAGTTTGTAATTTAACATTTAGTTGTAATTGTGTATGTCTGACCTTTTCCAGAGGAGATTACTGGAACAAATTTTGATACTTGGATCATCAGTGCCTAATGTGATTTCCAAGTCTGTCGGTGACCAGTTTGAGCTGTGCTTGGTCAAATGCCGCACTTCCTCTAAGGTGCTTGTTAATCAGATTTTATTAAAAGTCATCTTTGAGATTTAAAAGTTCAAAAGTTCAAAATACAAAAGAATCCTTTGTTTTAAAAGTGATTGATATGTACACTGTTTTATACACAAACACCTCAAGGTTAAAATACATGTATAGAAATGGCCTAAAGATCTCAGAATGTTCTTTCAAAAAAATTTTTTTTATTTGTCTTTTTGCTTATTATCTAAAACCTTTTGACCCCTTAGAGAAATTAGTATCTCATTTCTCCTTACAATATTATCAGCAAGTCAAATATTAAGGTCATTGGAATGAAGGAAATGATCACCAACAAAGGAAGCTCTTGATTTTTACACAAATTCTTCTTGTGAACACATCATTTTTTTTCAGAGATGCTTGTTGAAGGGTTACAAATTTATTACTGATTTTTTAATTTTATTATTTTTCAGAGTGTGTGGCATGAGAACTCATACAAAGATAAGACATTCAAACACTGTTTTGGCCTGACTGGACCAGAATTTGCTGGTGCTTTGTAGATATTTAGTTAACTTGAAATTAGCAAAGTCAATACAGAAAAAAATTCTTGTAAATGAAAATATATCTATTTTTTTAAAGTTATATTTTATTTGTGCAGAATTTGAGAATGTTATCATCTCATAGGTTTGTCTTTAGGATATTAGGTTCTTAAATATTTTTCTCAAATTATCTTGCATTTCATATACTCACATAGGTATGCAGTATTTTAAGTTTACATATTAGATTCTCATCTAGTCAAGACTTTTATTGCATCTCTGTTATCTTTTTTTTTTTTATAAAACCTAAGAGACAGACTAGCTTTTAAATATTGATGAAAGATTCTATTCTTTTATTTATTTCAGAATAGGTACTGAATGATGTAGATATCAATATTGAGGTGTACACCTATAGAGATGTAATTGCAACACTTCAGTGCTTTTCATTTTTGTTTAATTTATTTATAATAAATCACAGTATATCAGTTTATGGAATAAATACATTTTTATTTAGTTTATGTAAATTTAAACAAATAACTACAATTATAATCATTGTTGATATTGTTATAACCTTTTGCTGCTAATAAGTAGACAGTTTTAAGATCTATCAACTCTTTGGTCTAGAAGTAAGGTAGAAATTAAATCATTAAAAACTGAATCATCAAGTGATGAGCAGTGAAGTTCCTGGCCACTACCATTTAGTGTGGTTAAATTCCTGTCTACAAGAGACACTCCTACCAGGCTCTTCTTGGACTAAGGTATTATTACAATAATCAACACCAGTAACATTTATTGATTTGGAGTGTACATAATCCCAACCAGAGGTCTTGATTACTCTGTATAAATTCTGCATGATGGAGAATGGGTGTGTTGTTACAGTTGTAGTTTTAAATAATTTCAGGTTCAAACTGGTTGATAGGGGATGTTA